ATTACAGGCATGCGCTACCACGCCCGGCTGATTTTTTGACTTATTGTAGAGATGAGGTCTCGCTGCCCAGCCGGGTCTCGAACCCACGGGCTCAGGCAATCCACTCACTTCAGCCTCCCAAAGGCTCAGTATTACAGGCTGAGCCACCGAGCCCAGCTTATTTATTTATTTATATTTGTATTTTAAAGATGTGGGGTACAATTCAGGATTAGATATACAAATGTTCATTATGCAGGTACCTTGTTGATGAGGTGTGCTCCTCCCTCAACTGCCAATCCCACCCCCTGCCCCGGCAGTTTCCTACTACTGCCAATCCCTTTCTTATAGTAGTATGTTAATTGTTCAAGGTCCGGTTATGAGTGAGAACATATGGTACTCTGTTCTTTGTTTCTGTGAGAGATCACTGAAGATGATAGACTCTAAATCCATCCAAGTTGCTGGAAGTCCATATGTTTAATCTTCTTTATAGCTGCATAATATTCTATTGTGTATATGTACCACATTTTAAAAATCCAGCCCAGCTTCGATGGGCAGCATTGCTGGTTCCATGTTTTTGCTATTGTGAATAGAATTGCAACAAACATGCATGTACAGGTGTCTTTTTGGTAGAATGACTTGAGTTCCTCTGGGTATATTTGGAAAGGGTTTTTGTTTGTTTGTTTGTTTTCTTTTTTTAATCCTTCACTGTTGAAACAGAGGTTAAACATATTAACTACAATTAGATTTTTAGAAACTAAAGATGCATGTTGTACTCATAAGAATATTACCATTGGGCTAACTGCTACAACAAACAACCCCTGAATCTCAGTGGTTACAGAATAAATGTTTCCTTCTTGCTCTTGCTACTAATTAATGAAGATGGGTGGGGCTGTATTCAGTGCAACTATTCAGTAGTCCCAAGTCCATGTTTGGGGTCTATCATCCTCTGGAGCCTTATGTTCTCTCTGTGTCTGGCTCTTGATGAGGAAAGGGCAACAGCAGGTAAGGAGCAGATTTTTTTGGGAGCCAAGCCTAGAAGATGTGGCTGTCCTTTGGGCCCAAATTCCAGTGGGCAGAACTGAGCAAATGGAAATGAGCTGCATGAACTCATAGTTTTGTCTCTACCAAACAAAACAAAAAAATTTTCAAACAGAGAAAATAAATTGAATGGTGAAAAAATATCTTGAATTGTTATGGTACAGTGTAACAACTGGCTGCTTACTCTCAAGGCCAATGAGCTAGGAGAGGCAGAAAACTGAGAGAACGAAGTTTATTCTGAATTCAGAATTCAGGGAGCCAGGTTTGGTATATTTAGCAGAGCCTGATAAAAGCAACACAAACTCATTTCAGTATCTATAGTAAAACAGCTATTGTCTTATCTTTATTAGCTATTGATTAATAACAATTACATGCCTTGTGACCATTATTTAGTATCTTTTCTAGTCAGAGTTTAGACAAGCAGTTGCCAGCATAAGCCAGTATTCAGATTGCATCAATCTTGCCCTTCTTTCAAGTTCCAATGACTTTGAACAATTTGGAGCTGAATACTTTTCAGTTGGTTGCAGTTCTTCGCTTACACTAGGAGTTTTGGTTCATAAGATTTAGCTAATAATTAATATTACACATAAATTTGATGCAAAGGCATAAAAGAAAGCAATTGTTATTTAAGGACTAAGGGAATGGATACATTCTTGGGGTTTTAGGGAGTTTCAACAGAGCCCATCTCATACCTAGGTCCAGTGGAGGCTTCTCCAGGAATGTGCAGTTTTTCTTTGCCTCTCCTGCATATGATTGTGTTACTTTTAGTACCGGCATCAGTTACTAAACCCATGGGCAGTGAAGGGGGAGAAGTAAAAATGTGCACTTTTAAATTCAAGCAGTTTCTACGTTTAGCCTAATTCAATTAAAGTTTCTAAACTTAACCTTTAAATCTAAAGTAATCCAAACAGCTCTGAAATTTGAAATTCCCATTAACAGAATCGATCCAAAAATAGGCAAGAAAAGAGAAGGAATGCAAGAATTCCAATCCATACAACACCCACGCCTTGCTTGGTAAAGTTACTTGGCTCCCTAAGCCCGTTTTGTGAATACAAAATACAAAACACAGCCTACTTCCTAGGGATGGTAAAATGAGTAGAGTAAATGAGATAAAATATGGAAAGGACTTAGCACGCCATCTGACACAAACTTAATGTAACTGACCTTTAATTGTTGGCTATTATTATCAACACTTGCCACACTAGGTTGAACTCACGTGTTTATCTGGAGTTAAGAGGTCCGCAGGCACCGGGCGGGAACTTGGGACAGAGAGAAGGCCCGAGGTCCGCCCTAACGCTGACCTCCCCCCGCCCCCCCACCCCGCCTCGGCCACGCCCACCATGCTCTAGTGCCCAAGAGCGGTTGCCCAGCAACGTGTGTTGCTCCCTGGTCCAACTGCGGTGGAGGGCAGCAGGAGCAGCAGGGCCATGCCGGAGAACACCGTGGTAGTCATTCGTTACGGGCCTTACAGCACATTGGGCTTGTCAGCGGAGCACCGTACATTCCGCCTGGAGGGTCTGCAAGGTGGGCACCCCACTGCGTGCGCCCCTGTACACCCCAGCCTTCAAGCATCCGTACAGATGGTGCCTTGGGCCTAGATCTTCTTCCTTCCTCAGACCCCGAGCAAGTGCTGCTTCCCCCCGGGAAGTCTTCCCAGAGCCCTCGCTCTCCAAGGCGATTTACCATCGTCTGGTTTCCACAGCTTAGATATGAGTGGGAACAAACATGAGCTGTGGTCCCACTGAGCACCAGAGAGCTTACACGAATGACCTATATAGGAAAAAATTACATAACTTGCTTAATGAATTCAGAAACTGAGGATGAGGAATATCAACTTTCCTAAATCAAATGGCTGGAAAATAGCAACGCTAGGATTCCATCTCTTAATCATATATTCATGCAACAGATCTTTTTTGAGCATCTAGTATATGTCGGACACCCTTCCAGGAACTGAGAACACAACGTTGAACAATTATATATGTCCTAAAAGTGATTTCATTGCTAACTACTAAATGACAGTTGTGCCAAAATTCTGACTAAGAGTAGAAAGTGCCTTGGGAATGTAGCCATTGTGGGACCTGTGACTGGGAGGGGAGAGAAAGAAGTCTGAAAGGCTCTTTGAAGGAAATTACTTTTGAGTTGAGCTTTAAAGAATGAGTAGATATGAGCCAGGTAAAGCGAGGAAAGTGCCTTTCAGGAGCAGGAACTAATATCTGCAAAGGCTGGAGACATGAACAAATGATGTATTTGTTAAACTGAAAGGGAGTTGAGGCTGGAGAGCTCTACAGGGGCTATATCCTGCAAGGCCAAAGACAAGTTTTAGGAAGGGGATGAAACTGACTGCTCTGAGGGGAAGAGTTTAGAAGGGGTCATCAAGAGTGGAAGCAGGGAAGACAAATCAAAAGGCTGATGGAGTGATACAGGGTTGAGATGAGAGTAGCAGTCATAAAGGGGACAGTGGCTCAAAGTAAAAGCAATGGTACTTCTGAACGCAGGATGAATATGGGAGGCAAGGGTAAAGAGGATGTCATCTGGATCCAGTCAATACCTGACTTGAATGAACACTGATGGATGGAGGTGTTCTTCACTATAATTGAAAACATCAAACATGGAAAACAATTGAAAGAACATGTTCCATTTTGGATACACTATTCCTGACTTCCAGTTTTTCCACTTTATGATGGGTTTCTTGGGAGATAACCTCATCATAAATCAAGATCCATCTGAATTTACAATGGATCTACTTATGATCGTTTCACTTTACAATGGGTCTATTGGGATATTAAATGCATTTTTGACTTAGGATGGGTTTATCATGACAGCCCTATCATTAAGTTGAGGAGCATCCTATTAAGCTTCATGTTCCTTCATCTACCTAGATGGAGATACTGAGTCAGTTCTGCAGTTCTGGAGTTCAAAGATACAGTCTGAGGTGGAGATAAAAAGATATGAGTCATTGTCTTGAAAAGAAAACATAAAATGAGAAGAGAACCCAGGACTGAGCACTGATGAATCCCATTATAGGACCCAAACTAAAGAATTTCCATGCAAAATGCTGTGGGAGTCCAGAGGATACAAAGATCAATTTTGGCCCAGCAATCAGGGAAGGCCCCCTGGAGGAGATGTAATTTAAGTTTGAGTTTGAGGGATGAGTAGGATTTCAACCAACAGAGAAAGTGTTATAACTCTCTAAAAGAGTTGGTTGAGAAATGTATAGTGAAAATATCTCAGTGTTTGTATTAGTCTACTAGGGCTGCCATAACAAAATATATAGGTGGTGTGGGGGTGGGGGGTGGGGGAGTTAAACAATAGAAATCTAATTTTTCACATTCTGGAGGCTAGAATTCCCTGATCACGGTCTGGCAGGGTTGCTTTCTGGTGAGGGGTCTCTTTGTCCTCACATGGTATGGAGGAGGCAGTAGTAAGGAAGAATGAGCAAGTTCTCTGATGTCTCTTCTTACAAGGACATAAAACTTATCAGATTAGATCCCCACCCTTATGACCTCCTTTAACCTTAATTATCTCCTCAAAGACCTATCTCCAAAACCAGTTACATTGAGGGTTGAGGCTTCAACTTATAAAGTGGAGGAGGGGGACACAATTCAGTTCATAGCAATGTTGTATGGTGATACTTAAAATGTTTGTAATCTCGGCTAAGGACCCAGCCTAAATAAATGACTTTTCTCCTCCTTCCACTCTGATGAGCCTAACCCACCCAATCTCATCTCATAACCCAACTTTATTTTGTGTTCATTCTCTAAAAATAACATGAATTTTAGCCTGCTGGAAAAGAACGTATATTCAAGAGATCACTGAGCCTTACTTCCTCTTTCTGTTCCCAGCCTCTTGACTTTGCAAAAACTTTTCTTTTAGTTTGCTCCAGATTCAGGGTATGTGAGCTCCCTCTCCACAACTCATCCCCTACATTTTCTATTAACTACTTTTTATTGTAGTAAAATATATACAACAAGATTTGCTATTTTAACCATTTCAAGTGTACAGTTCAGTGACATTAATTACATTCACAATGTAGTGGAACCATTACTGTTATCTATTTTTTAATTTTTCAACAGCCCAAACAGAAACTTTGTACTCATTAAGCAATAACTATTCATCCACCCTCAGCCCCTGGTAACCTTAATCTACTTTGTCTCTTTTCATCTCTCCGTTCTAGATATTGAATATAAGTAGATTCGTGCAATATGTGTCCCTTTGTGTCTAGCTTGTTTCACTTAGCATACACTTATTTCACTTAGCCCATCCATGTTGTAGCATGCATATGAATACTAATAACTGACTCTTTATTCCTTTTTATGATTGACTAATATTCCTTTTTATGTCTATACCAGATTTTATCTATTCATCTGTTGATGAACATTTGGGTTGTTTCTAACTTTTGGCTATTGTGCATAATGAAGTTGTAAACATTGGTGAACAAATATCTGTTGAGTCTGTTTGTTTCAAAGGAGCAGAATCGCTGACATCTGGTAATTCTATACTTAACCTTCAAATTGTCTTCTAAAAAGCAATTGCACCATTTTATATTCCAATCAGCAATGCACAAGAATTCCAATTTTCTGTGTGTGTGTGTGTATTATAGTCATCCTAGTAGGTGAAACGTGGGTTTGACTTGCATTTCCTTGATAATTAATGATGTTCAGCAACTTTTTATGTGCGTATTGTCATCTGTATATTTTTGGAGAAATGTCTGTTCAAGTCCTTTGCCCACTTTTAAATTGGGTTGCTCTTCTTTTTGTTGTTGAATTGGAAATGATTTTTTACATATTCTGAATACTAGACCCTTATCAAATAAATGATTTGCAAATATTTTTTCCCGTTCTGTAGATTATCTTTTATAGATATCTATTTGTAGAAATCTATTTGTAAATTATATTTTCTGCCATTCTGTAGACTTTCTTGATAGTGTCCTTTGATGCACACATATTTTTTAATTTTAATGAAATCTAATTTATCTATTTTTTCTCTTGTTGCCTACATTTTTCTGTTTTGTAGTTGAGATCTGCCAGGGTGGGGTGGGGGGCACACCTCGTCAACAAGGGTATCTGCACAATGAATATTTGTATACCTAACCCTAAATTGTACTCCATAATTTAAAAATAAATAAATAAAATATTTTTTTAAAAAAGAAAAAGAAAATATATTTTTCTTTTTCAGATTTAGATTGCCAAATTGAAGATCATTCAGATCTGCCCCTTTGCCTTTGATCCATTTTGAGTTAATTTTTGTGTTCACTGTAATATAAGGGTCCAACATTATACAAAAAATATTCATGTGAATATTCAATTTTCCCAGCGACTTTTGTTAAAGAGACTGTTCTTTATTCATTTAATTATCTTATTACCCATATAAAAAAACCAGTTACCTTTCATTCACATCAATCAATGTGAAGTTTTATTTCTAGGCTCTCAATTCTATTTCATTCTTATATCAGTACCACATTGTTTTGATTACTGTAGCTTTGTAGTAAGTTTTGAAATCAAGAAATGTGAATGTAAACCCTACAGGTTTTTCTCAAGGTTGTTTTGACTATTCTAGGTTCCTTGAAATTCTCTATGAATTTTAGAATAGTTTTTCCATTTTTGCAAAAAACACCATTGGGATTATGACAGGATTTCATAATACTGTAGTACTGTTATCTTAACAATATCAAGTCTTTCAGTTCACATACACAGGAAACATTTCCATTTATTTATGTCTGCTTTTATTTCTTCCAACAATTTTTGTAGTTTTCAGTGAACAAGATTTGTGCCTAACTGCTTAGCTCTGTTCCTAAGTGTTTTGTTCTTTTAGATGCTAGTGTTAAATGATGTGTTTTCATATTTCCGTTTCAGATTATTCATTGTTAATATATAGAAATACAGCTGCTTTTTGCATGTTGATTTTGTATCCTTCCATTTTGATTATTTCATTTTTTAGTTTTGGGGGTTTTTTTCGGACACTAGTGTTTTAATGAACATAAGATCATGTCATCTGCAAATAGAGGTGGTTTTAATTCTTTCTTTTTAATCTGGATGTCTTTTGTTTCTTTTTCTTGCCTAATTTCTCTGGCTAGTACTTCCAATACTATGTTGAAAAGATGTGGCAAAAGTGGGCATCCTTGCCTTCTTCCAATCTTAGGGGGAAAGCGTTCACTGGGCCTCATTCAATCTGTTAAAGGCCTTAATAGAACAAAAATTGAGGTTTCTCAAATAAGTAGGAATTCTCAAGACTGCAACATGGAAACTCTGCCTGTGTCTCCAGCCTTACCTATAAGCCAATTCCTTATCATCATTCTCTCTCTCTCCCCTTCTCAGTCCTCGTTTCTCTCCCCCTCACTCTCTCTCTTTCCCTTTCTTCCTCTTCTCTGATGGTTCAACTTACAATTTTTTAACCACATGATGCTGCATTCAGCTATGAACATTAATGATGAGTACTCATACAATCATTCTGTTTTTTACTTTCAATACAATATTCAATAAGTTATGTGATATATTCAAAAATTTATTATAAGATAAACTTTGTTA